TAGGCGTTACAGATTTTGTAAAAAAAAAGTTTCTTTTGCAATTTTCTCTTAACACATTGCACATTTTCACACAAGGGTTCCCTTCAAAACTAAAGTGTATTTTATGGTGCGTCATTTTTAAAATTGATATTGCTCTTAAAAATAAGCCATTTTTTAGGCAAATCAGAATTTAGATTCGGGAAAAAAAAAGTTTTACAGTTTACATTAAGAGGAATCATCCTTATTACATATTAACACTGAAATATAAAGATCTAAATATATATTTATAGCGTGACGCGGCTGGATTGTTAAAAATCACACATTAAAGGCCCTAAATATACCATTTAAAAAAGTAATTTTGCCCGGAAGAGTCAAATGTGGTGGCCCGGAAGGGGAAATAGTGGTGGCTCATGGCTGCCGGAAGAGAAAAAAGCTAATATGTGGCCCGGAAGGGGAAATAGTGGTGGCTCATGGCCGCCTGCCTTCCCCCGCTCGCAATAGTGGTAGTTGAACTGAGAATATAGTATTGTGGAGAAATTTTTTAGGATTCATTGGAGACATATAAAACGTTTAAATGATGTATAATTGCTGAGCTTCAGCGCAAAGTCGACGTTCAAAATCATCCATTTGGCTGGTTACGTTTTAAGAATCGATTTTATTTCAATTGTTTAATTAAGACGTCAAAAAATGTAAAAACAAATCTACAGCAAACTAATAAGATTTTTAGGAACAAGTTATCAATTGGAATTTTCTCAATAAATCACTGTTAGAATCAATTATTTCTTTTTCGTCATATTGAATTTCTTTTTCTTGAATTTGTTCGCAGATTTCTTCAAATTCTTCAAAAGTTGTATTTTCAATAAAAATTTCAGGATTTCTACAGAAAATATTTGTGAACAACGAGAAATTACAGAAACCAATAACTGAACAAGATTACTTATTGTCGATGATAATAGTTAATTTCTATTTCCTCAAAATCATCCCTCCAAATTGACAATCTATGAGGAATTTAAGGATTGAATTCGCGCTCTTGCTGCACAAATATGCACCGTAAAAACGTCACAGGTCTCAAATGATTCCTAAAAAATTTCTACACAAAACTACATTCTCAGTTCAACTACCATACATTGCCGGTCACTCCCTTTAATGCTCGAAAACTGCAAATTGTTGAATTACAAATTTGTTGTCAAACAACCAAACCAAACCGAAGGTAAGTGTACAGGGTAACAGTAATGGTAAAGAGACTTTATCTAGGGTATAGAAGGGTATAGAAGGGTATGGGAATTACCTAAAAATCTGGTTATCCTCCCTAATTCCTTGTTCCATAAGAGCACTAAGCACTGCTACACGTAAATTTTTCTTCCGCCTCTCATCCACACCACTAACACAAAACATCATTTTTCAAACTTTAATATCATAATTCAAATATGCTGTTTAGAGGTCGGAACTCGGATCTTTTGTGTGGAATATCGTTGATCTTAAACGCTGGATCTTGATATCGCATGTGGACACTTTTAAATTTGAGGATAAATGGTTCATCCTTTACTGTTTACATTATGCTAGTAAGACATGACCATCCCAGGATATCGAGGACGAATAAAATTAATCCGTAGGTCTGCATAAGATTGAGGTCAATGCTTGATTCCAAGATTCACAATTCACAAAACAAAAGTTAATTCTGGCTTCTGACCCACATTGGAGATCCAAAGTAAAGTGTTCAAGATTAAAAATGTCCATACAAAAGTTCCGATCTCTGAACATATTTCAAATATCCAAGGATATGATGAGTAAATATCATCTTTGACCGTGGCGACTCTAGACAGAGTTCTACAGAAAAGAAGCAACAAGGCATGAATGTCTTAAAAGAAAAATAGAGGATCTTTCTTTTCGTCCATTTGAATAAGAAATGCACTTAGCGATAAGTCACGGAACTATATACTGGTGATTTATCTGAAGGCAATAATTCCTCACCTGGACGCCAGTGCGGTTAAGGAGCATGCAGAACAAATATTAGTAATTTTTACTGTTGGACAACATTAAACATACGTCGTTCACCCCTGGCAAAATTAAAATTAATCCTAAAATAAATCGGATAAAACATCTACCTTTTCTGGTTTGGTCTGGATCTTCTTTGTGCTTCCAGGATTTGTTGGCCTGCTCCCTTGACGGGACTAGGCTTCCCGGATCTTGTCGTCAAGATTTTGGCGGATTTTCTGGGACTTGTCCACGCCTTACCAACTTTCTTACGCGGACTACGCTGGGAAGAAGATTCACAAGTTTTCGTTTTCTTTATTTTCAACTTCTCAGGAGCCTAGGAAGAAAATTATCATAGATTTTAGGCTTCAAATTCTATCTCACAGTTTTGATTTGGGCTTAATGTGTTTCAGGGAACTTAACATTTAGGCGTTTTTGATGTATTTCAAACAGGATTTTAATTCTAATAATCCCGGTAGGTTCCCCTCTTTTAAAGGGACTGTAAGCCTTATTTTAATAAAGCATTTTCTGATTAAGTATGAATTAGATATCAATGTTTATAACTTATTAAACAAATCTATTGTGGTTTCTCAACAAAAGTGACTTTCGCATTTCTACTGCAGGAAAACATATATGAATTGTCCAAATTAAACACTGTTAAAAAAAGACAATAGCTTCCCCATTAATGAACAGAAAAAGGTTTCCAAGGTTTACCGGGCCGTTGTGAATCAAGCATCGTCATATTTGGATGAAGGGTCATTTGAAATTACACTTACAGTCACTTTAAAACATAAAACTACGAATAAGAAAAGAAAGTCATTTGGAGGAGATAAAAAAAATCTGAATAAAATTTGTTAACTAGTTTTTAAAAACTTTTTGTGAAAACAAAAAATGTTGAATAAAAATGGTCTACCTTATCCATATCCAGCGTAGTGCTAGTTTCCTTAGATATTCCAACACACATATCTCGATACCGTCGGAAATCTGGGATAAACAGAGATCAAGACTTTTGTGTAGATAATCCCTGGATTGAACAGTTATCCGCTCTAATCCGTAACTTTTGTAATTTTTAGGATTAAATTCATTTTTAATATCCTATGGTTGTCGTACTTTGCATGGATGATTTAAGTTAAGGAATCAAACACTCATCAAGAACTGTAGAGATCAAGCAATTCACTCAAGAGTGTTAACCTCGAATAATTTGTGTGATTTGATTATCAATTACTAAAATGATGGTAAAGAGACCTGGGGGAGGGGCCTCAAATTACAAATCCATTTGGTTGGAATATTTTCTCACCTTTCTCCTTCTGATCAGCTTTAGGTCCATTGTTGTAGTAAACGTCATGGTACTAACACACAACAAGTTTAAAACAATTTATAAATAGTTCTTTACAAAAGATTTATAAATATTATGATCAAAAGTTTTCCATTACCAGCATTACGAAACAAGTTCAAATTATTTAAACCAATGTTCCTAAAAAAATAGATTTATCGGATTTTTGACATGCAAATTTCAAAATCTTGCAATCAAATATTAAGTAATTTTGCAAGTTTTTCAATACCTTTTCCACCTTCAAATGTTTTTTCCACCTTCAAATATTCCTTTTTATTGACCCGGAGAAATTGTAACAGAAAAGAAAGCAAGACGCTAGCTAACGACATTTTGCATAGTCCCCGAAAAAATTGGATTCTGTTATTTTTCCTCATGTAAGAGAAATTGCATTACATGTATCCAATAAACAAAAAATGGTGCGTTCAATTAAAAAAAGGAAATCATAAGAATTTATTTCTTACTTCAACATATACTTTCAATCGCAATTTCTAGGGGGAGAGGAAATGGGATAAGGAAAAGATCGTGAAGAGCCCAGACCGCCATCGTGACTAACTCCCCTGAGACCCGGCGGCAACAACATCATGTAATTCACCCAATTTTCGACCAAAAAAAATGCGGGAGCTAAGAACAGGTGAAATATCCCATAATTATTCAAATTGTCCAGTTCAACTCTGACTTTGTCTTGTTTATGTGTTTGCCTGGGTGAACTCCATCAGGTTAAAATCATCTCCCTTGAACTTGAATCCAGAATATTGTAAATCTCCACTCCGAATATGATCAAAATTATCCTAAACATTCATAAATACAAAATTGTTTCCGCTAAGGTCGGAAAATTTGTTTTGCTAGTTTATACTATACCTTCACTAATATATATGTAGCAATTAATTCATTTTATTTTTAATTGCCCAATTATTTTGATCTCGACCAATAAAAGATCAAGAAATTTATTAATAAGCTTTTCTTAAGGATTAAAAAAAGGACCTTGATCGCTTAAACTTTAAACTCTCCGTAGTTTATATCAATTTCAGGCTTGGTAGATTTACTCAATACTCATCTCATAAAAAAATGTTCAACCTCAAATTATTTATCATTTAAAAGTTTTCACCTCAAATCAAATCTCATTTAAAAGTTTCGACTTCAAATCAAATCTCATTAAAAGTTTCGACCTCAAATCAGATTTCATTAAAAGTTACGAACTCATCAGATCTCATATAAAAGTTACTATCTCAACTCAAATCTCATATAAAAGTTTCAACATCAAATCAAATCACCTTTAAAAGTTTTGACCTGAAATCAAATCGCATATAAAAGCTTCGATCCCAAATGAAATCTCATATAAAAGTTTTAACTTCGAATCACAAAATAAAAGTACTTTAATGTTACCTGAAATATTTTCTGATATTGGTGATCAGATAGTCGAACTGTATTCTTAACTCTGAAAAAAAAAATTTAATTGTTTTTACAAAAATACTAAAAAATTACGTTTCAAATCGTATCAAATCATACCACAGATATTTTACATCATGCGTAATATGATTTTAAAAGATTTCAGGTCAAAAATTGAAAATGTCCCTTGCAATTTTTAAACCTTAATTCCCTCTAATCCATCTACTTATTATGATTCCCTGGCACTACGAATGAACTATGGGGCTCACTCAACCATATAGGATAGCGGGTCCCGAATAAACATTATTTTACTTCAAAAAAATCATTTATTTTTCCCCCTCGAATCCAAATTAACTAATTATTGAAAAAATCTTCATAGCAAAATTATTTTGAGGAAATGATTTTCCAATAAAATAAATATGAACCCCTATTTGATAGTTTACTTACCCCTGAGTAAGATTATCTAGATTAAGAGCTTTGGCTGGTTCCCCGGTTTTTTGGAAGAATTTAACTATCTCTTTAGCTTCCAGGGAGATAGTGTCAACACGCCTGGAACAGATTACAGGGGTGTTTATATTTCAGAATTTTTATTATGGGGGGGGGGGGAATGAAAAATTGGACATTAAAAAAGCTCCGCGCAAACATATACAACTTGTGAGTGTAGGGGGGGGGGGATTTTCATTATAGAACGGGGATGATTTTTTGAGAAAATATACACCCCTTACTGATAAACACACAGAACTTTTGAGTTCCAGGGATTCGTTACATAAGCCCATGAAAATGAATTAATTCCAACCTTGACTTCTGATTGGTCAAGCTTTAATACTTGGGATGCATTTCATTTTGAAACTACACAAAAAAAATGGATGTGAATATTGATTGAATGAAAAAAAAATCAATAAATACGAAATGCAAAAATCAAATCAAATCAGACTTTTAGGGATGTCCTTCTACCACATGACAACTTTCGAAATGACTAATTCTCAAGTTTAATGTGGGCTTATGATTTGTAAAAACTTTCCGCGAATAATGTGAAGCGTGAAAATTTACCAAAATGAAAAGAAAAGAGTAATGATGCTTTGATTAAATGAAAAAAAAATCAATAAATACAAAATGCAAAAAGGGAGCCAAGAGCTTATTTCTATTTCTCCGCTATATTCGTGCAACTGATAGAAATTTGTATTTAGCTGATAAGTCTACCTTGATAGAAGAGCTGATTCTTTCTCGGAGCTGATAATTTCTTGTTTTCTAGAATCTATCCTAGCAACTCTCTTCTCAGAGCTTTCATCTGAACAAATTAATAAAGAAATAAAATATTCAACCAGATTCATTTTATGATAATTTCGCATTGAAATAACGATTTCTTGAATATTTTGAAGTACATACGATATGATATACAATCAAGATGTATTAAAAAAAAAGTCGGTTTCTCTTGTGTCATGAAATGTTAGTGTAAGGTATTATGATCCATTTGGCTTCTATGCGCGTAGAAAAAGATAGACCCCCCGGATCCATCGAATATTTAATTTCGCTCAAAATAAAGTCTGGGAAGATAAAAAAGTAAATGCAGATTATATCACTAGTATTTGTACCTTTATACATGCTTTGAATTTTCTTTGGTTTTTTCAACTCTTCATCTAACACTACTGAGTTGGTTTCCAACTTACTATTCTTTTCTAAATTAAAAAATAGTTATCAATAATATCAAGGTTCACATAGTGTTCTCTTTTACAATGACATGCTACGATAAATAAAACATCTTTTTACGAATAGTATATATTATCTTACTTTCTCTTCAGACATAAATATTTTGTATTTTCATTTTAGCAATTGTGCAATATACACAGACCCCATTTTACAACACTGGAAACCCCATTTGCTTTAAAACAACATCAAATACACAAAAGATTGCTTAAATATCGTCTACATGTCCACAGTTTTCTGGTAGTAAGCGTTATAAGTTATACTAAAATCAGGAGTGAAAATACCCCCCCCCCCCTGAATAACATATGTTATTACCTATCCATGAGTAAAGTCGTGGAACATTCTCGGCCACTACTTGAAGTAAATCTTGTGTGCTCCCCGCCTCTCTTCCCTCTAGAAACCCCATTTTGTCAAGTTAGATTCGAGAATTTTTAAATGCAGAGGTGGGTAATATTTAATAATATTCAAACAAAGAATATTTCTCCGGAGAATTATGAGAGTTTTAAATTCGAAAACTCCAGTTGTATTTCATGTGAGTGGATTTTATATAAAAAAGTTTTAAAATTAAAAAAAAACTCTTAACTCTTGTGTCCATCATCCTTTAAATCGTGTATTCTAATTCATCTCAAAATTAATCCCTCCGGGCCGGGCCGGGGGAGTTTACGAGATACTGATTTTTCAAGAAAATATGTACACCAGATCAAATTTCAACAAAAAAAAAAAACAATTAAGAATGTATGTAAAGCTAAAAATTGTTGTTAAAAAACGTCTTCAGAATTGATTTTACTTTATATATGAAGACTTTTTTGGGCAGAAAATATTTATGATTATTTTTCAAAATGTTTTCCTAAAAGAATTTTCAGTACTTCCGCCGTCAGATCTCGATAATATTGATGAACAAGTTGAATATTGGTTTCAATTATATCTAGATTTGGAACAGCTGTTACAACATTGACATTAAACACAAAATCTCTGCTTAGGAACGGCCGAGGAACAGTGCACACGTCCTCAGGGTTCCTCAGGAGAATTGCGGATTTCACAAAAATTTGTTTGGAACATTTTTTTGTTTGAGTGCCGTCGTCGTAGACAAGGAATGAAATTGAATGTTGTGCATCCGCTAAATACATTTCATGAACGTTCTCATAAGTTCCTAAACCAACAAAAATTTCATAATCAAAAATCAAATCAAATTTTTATTCAAAATCTTTTTTTTGCTAAGATCAGTTATTCTAATAGTTTGTTGTTTCCTTCGACCACTTCCCGCTTCCAGGACGCAGAATTCCTTTGCTTATATTTTCTGTTTAGTTTTTCAGAAACTCTAAATATGCTTATTCAATATTTGATCAAATTCAATTTTCAAAATACACCCTTAAATAAGCTACAGCTTTTTTATATAAAAATCATAGAGCTTAGGGGAAAATTTGAAATATAAAATGTTTTTGCTCCCACCAAATAATATCCCAAAATCAACCAAATAATATCCCAAAATAAATCAAATTGAGAAAAAAAGACTGGGGTTTAATTTTCAATAAAAACTTGATAAATATATTGAATAAGCTGTATCCCTAAGACGAGCTATAAACCCAAAAGAATCAGGGAATCCTTGTTTCATCAAATATCCAGTAACATCGTCTTCACCTACAATTAAAGGGACTGTATACGTCATTTCAAGTCACCCTCCTTGTTCCCCTTTAAACCTTAGATTGACCGAGGATGTCTAAAAACAGCAATGTTTTACAGCTGAAAATTGATAACTTTCAATTGTGGTTGCTTTTTAAAAGTGACTTGTGGATTTATGCTTTCAATAAAGGACCGTTTAAAATTTCACACTTTTTGATGAATAACAACGTTATCTTCCCCATTATTACTCAGATAAAGGTTTTAAGGGTAATGATTTAATTCGGACATACCACTCTACAGTCTACAAATGCAGTGTCCCTTGAAACGACTAAATCTTAAAATATTATTGAATAGTTTGAAAATTCTTATTTTAAAAATTACCTAAGAAATGTTTGTCGTTAAAAAAATATTTCCTGCAAAATCTGGACACATTTTTAAAAACCTCGGGGAAAGGGGGGTGCTTAAAATTAAGCAGTTGCCCAAGGAAGTTGCGTGCACGAGTTACGAGAAGCGAGAGGTTGGTATTTATTTACTTTCTGTGCCGAGAGCCGCGGAAAAGACAGGTTTGAGGGCCGGGCAGTATTTCTGTCTCGTAATTTAACGCGACATGCGCGCGTAACTTCCTTGAGCCTCTGCCTTAAAATTATATCATACCTGTGTCAATGGTTTTGAGTTTAAACCTCTGATTGGTTAGAAAAGAAGGGGGAACAGAAGATGCATCCACCTCAGTGACTAGTTCAAGGTTTACGTCGTAGAATACCAGCTCTTTATCCTAAACAAGAAACCTTTAGATCCACTTGGAAAAAGGAGAAAAATATGAAAGATGTATTTCTAAAAAAGGCGCGTTTCTTTTTTGATTTTTGATTTTCTTGTAAAAATCCAACACAGCGAATAAAACACTTCAAACAAATTCTGCGCTCCGCGCTATAGCATACCTCACCTCTGGGGAATGATTTTTCATTTTATATATAAATATATACAACCACATACCTGCTGCTGGGTTGGGTTTATTTCAGGGTTAGAAAGATTTATCTTCTGAATAATTAAATCTAATTCATCCAGTCCGTCATGCAGCTCGTAACCCTGGAATGATCAAGAAAAAAATTAAAACGAAAAGAGAAAATATTTGCCCTTAAAATGGATTTAAGGCCATATTTGAATATTGTAAAAGACTCAATCGATCGAATAATCATAATTTTTTTATTGATTTTTTCAAGGGATGATCTTTCGATGTAGAGTGAAATGTGCTGATAATTTTTTCTTGAAATTTTAAAGCCGATTTCTAAGTATTAGATATTTTAAAATTCTAAATTCCATGATAGCAGGGAAAAGTAAAATTGAAAGGGGGGGGGGAGTAATAAAACCCTTGAAATGTCTACCTGAATTTTGTAACTAGTTAGATCCTCATCATTAAAAACAGTTAAGTTTCCACGCCAAACTAAACCAAACAAAACTTAATTTCTATTTCTCAAAAATATTACAAAAAAAGCAATTTCAGATTAAATACTAGAAAGAAAATTTACAAAAAATTGCAAGTTTTATTTCCTAATGACGGAGAAATATAGAGCTCCAGATTAATATCATCTCTAGGTCCAGTTATTATCTAAATAAATCAAAGCTGAAAACTTTTGAATGGACTGAAAGAGTCCATTTAAAAAGTTCCCTACACAAGAAGAATTAACACTTTTTCATTTTAACACCACTCACTTCAATAACGGCTACAAACTAAATTACTATAAAACAAGTAATAATATCAATTTTATTTAGATATTTGCATATTTTTAATCTTAAAATTTATTTGAACTCGAGAATTGCAAAGGTTTCCAAATTGTGTTTCTAGTATTTGATGTTTTGGTGAAAGTTTAACCTTAAACCTTATGAGTAAAAAAACCATAAGTTTAAGTAAACCTCTAATTTAAGAGTTACAGAATAATGTGCTGTCTCGAACCATCTTTAGGATTAGGTTAGGTTAAGAGCATTCCCGAACCGAGCACCGCGGCTAGAATAGGCTTTTACAGTTACAAAATCTTAACAAAATTACTTGACTAAAAGCTTGAAATACTCAGCTAAAATCAACATTTAACATTTAAGCCGCCTCAGCGCTCGGCCCCCTAACCAATCCTAGCCACAGCGCTCGGCCCAGAAATTGTTTTAACCTAACCTAACCCAAAATAATGCGACATTTAGTAAATGTCAACATTTCGTAGCAGTCGACGTTTTGTTATTTGACGTTTTGTATCATTAACGTTTTGTTATTTGGCGCTTTGTTATTCAACGTTTTGATAAGTTTAGTACCCACTCCCCATTAATGAAATACCTCAGCTTGAAGTCCGCTGGATACCCAGGAGGGGAGATCTTCGCTCTCTTTCAGAGTGAGAACAGAGATCTGTCCGTTGTGCCAACTAAAATGTTGAAAAATGAAACAGATCAAGTTTCTTTCTTGAAAAATCATTTATCTAGATATTTTTCGCTGAATTTTAAATTTGGGACTTTAATTTAGGAGGGGAAATGAAATTCAAATCGGGGGTGGATGATTCAAGAAAACATATACCCCTGAAATCAAAATCTACATTAAAATATGAATATTAGCCTTTTAAAGTTTAAATCCGATATTTTCAAATTTTCTCTGAAGACCCCAAAAACAAGTTTAGAACTGTGTGCATGATCCAATTTGATTAGGGTCACCCAGTACAATGAGGGAAGGAACATTATTTATAAGGAAAATATTCACAAAATTGATCTCGACTCACCTAACTGCCCTCTGTAGAGCTCCGTAGAGCCCAGGGTTAGGTTGAACAGGAAGAGAATCACAAATCCAGAGAATATTAAGAAGATATCGACCTGGAGAGGAGATACCATCAAACAGGTCATGAAGCTCATCTGTCAATACGGCAAGATCCTAATCAAATAAGAATTTCAATTCTCTTTATTCTGAATAAAAAAACCAGATTTCCAACGGTACCCTTGAAACCTTAATCTGATCAATAATGTGAAATATATTGTCGTTTTTCCAGGCTTATATGTTTTACTGCAGTAGAAATTCGCAATCCACTTTTGTAGAGAAACAATAATTAAAAATAATCAGTCTTCAATAGAATAAATATTGATTCTTGATCAGACAAAGCTTTGAAGGATACCGCTGTGAATCGGGTATTGTCATCTGTCCATGAATGGTCACTAAAAATTTAAAAACTTTGAAAACAAAAAAATTTAAAAAATCTACCTTCTCTCTGTAAGCTGAGTCTTTAGTTATCTTATCCTTTATATCTTGGGATTTTTCTACCTATATAAAAAGCTTTTAGGGTAAATGTAAGAAATTGGCTTCAGAACACTTTTTTGTTTTTATCTGATATTAAGTAATATAGTAACTGTAACGTTGTCCCAATTTAATAAATTTGAGCCGCGTCTCAAATCCGCCAAAAACAGGTTTAAATTAAGCGCCGGCTTAAATCTTGAAACATTAAATACAATTTTAAGTGAAACCAACCATATTTGAGCAGCGTCTCAAATATAAGCCGCGGCTCAAATTCTTTAAATTTTGGCCTCTGGTTGATCTACAAATTGCGGAAAGTAAGTTTGAAATACGAGGTGACAATTGTCAAGGAATGTTAAAGGAAGGAAGCACTTTTGGATCTGCAGTTACATTTTTAGCAAAGAAAAAAGTTTCCTCAGACAGACTGGGTCCCCTATAAATAAATCAGTCAATTGAGAAGAAGAAAGTTACCTTTGTCCATAAATCTGGTAAACAAACGGAGTAAATATCCACAGGGCTTAGTTCAGAGTTTCCTAGTCCAGCTAGAAATAAGATTAGTTAGAACCAATGGGGGTCTTCTCTGGGCTCAGTCCTAATAAGGAATTCCCCCCCCCCCTCCCTTTAAAATTTGTACATGACCTTGATATAAAGTAGTTTTGACTTATGTTGTTTATAAGAAATTCCAGGTTTAATGAGGAAAGTTTCTGCGATGCGGCTATGACGACCTGGAGGCTAATCAGTTAAGAGGTTCACGAGATATGATCGGACTTACAAACAATCAGACAAAAGATATTACTTTACCAGAGCGACCCATCTTATCTAAGATTATCGGCAAGCTTAAACACCAGAATACGCAAATAATACGGTAATTTCCTAGAGAACGATTTCTGGACACCCTTCATAAAAAATGTACAAGAAGTTTCTTTGAGTTACAATATATAACTCATGGTCGCAGCGCTCTGTTCTCTAGCATGTTCTAGCCGCGGCGCTCAAGCCAGGAGTGTGACCGCAGCGATCGGTCTCATTACCTGTCTTAGCCTCAGCGCTCGGCCCAGAAGTTGTCCTAACCTAACCCGAAATAATAAACAATAGGTGCTTAATTTAATGGAAATATTAAAAATTGAGGGCCACGGCGCTCGGCCCCATAGCCTGTCCTTTCCGCAGCGCTCGGCCCCCCTAGCCAATCCTAGCCACAGCGCTCGGCCCAGAAATTGTGTCATGAACAAAACTGATTGGAGGGGGGGGGGGGCAAAATTCGTATAATAGGACGGGGCCCTTAAATACTAGCACTTATATTTTCAAATAAGTCAGGAAAATAGCACTTTTATAGCTATATACGATCCACCATGGTGTGGGACACCCGCATGTGATTATATGTAAAGAAAGGTAAGTGACGTATGACCTATTTAAACTTCAATTACCTAAATAGCAGTTTTGAATAACTTTCGCATACTTCTCGTCGATATTTTTCAAGAAATTAATGGGAAAGTTCTTTCTTTCAGTAGTTTTAAAAACTAAAATTCTCCGCTCCATATTTCTCGGAAGTTGTGGTTTAAAATTTTCTCACAAAAATTAACAATTAACCCATAACGTCAAACTTCGACAATTCTTGCAGTCTCATAAGGTCTTGGTAACCTAGGCCACTAAATGTTTCAGGCCAAGTTCTGTGGCGGCTTGTAAAAGTTGTCTGCCTGTTTATAATATTGGCGCCAAGTGCGCAGAAATCCCGCAATGTTTTAATAAACAAATATTTGTCGTCTTTAGTATTAGTGAAGAAATCAATCAATGAATAAGACTACACTTAACGATGGTGTATTTTTTGGACCTACGCCCATCCCCTCTACTGCCCATCCGACCTACAAACTTTTTAACAAAGATGAAAGATGTGACTGAAATTGAACTTGTTTTATTTAATTTTGGAAGGCGCACAGACGCACGGAAAAAATGACATATAACCCAAATTTTGATTTTGGGGCTATACATCTGTAGACAAGCACGTGGTTTTAACAGCTGTGGTAGGTCCGATGCACTGTATTTCGGATGGGCACATTAAAAACAGCATATTGGTGCATCCATGCTATAACTATAGGTCGCAATTGCACACGATAGTAGGTCTGATGGGCCTTTTTCGTATAGGTCGGATGGGCATTTTTCGTAGGTCGGATGGGCATTTTTAGTAGGTCGGATGGGCATAGATACAGGGTGTCCCACGAAACATGACAATAGCAAGACGACTTGAAAGTCGTCTTTGATATTTGAATTTATTTTTGACATTAATTTTTCTATCTACTTTGACATGTATGATTCTTGAAACAATTCACATAATTCTCCTAGCCCTGGCATTTCCAAAAAGTGGTCTGCGTTTTTTGTGCTTTCAATATTACCAGAGATATATAAAGAGCAATTGGTTCAGATTTCAATTTTGTCAAATAAAAGCAAAATTGTCGAAATCTGAACGAAATT